CTCTCTCTCTCTCTCTCTCTCTCTCTCTCTCTCTCTCTCTCTCTCTCTCTCTCTCACCTGGAGACTGTTTGGCACCAGAGCTTTACTCTGTCCACAACCTGGCTCCCATCGTCTAACCCAGATGGCAGCTCCCACTCAGCCGGCCAGGCTGGAGAGCTCAGTACCACTCCCCCCCCCGCCAAGAGAGCCCTGGCCTTAGCAGTTTTGGGGTGGAGATGTGAAGGCCCAGGCTGGCCCCAAGACTGCCTTCTGTGTCTTTGGTCTCTGGCAAAACCATGGTTGTGCCCAAAAGCTGTGCCAGGCCCTTCCTGGCCCAGCTACAATTGCCCAGGGAGGGGTAAATAGGGCAGCCTCCAAGCTCTCGGCATGTCACCATTCTTCCGTCCCTGTTGCACTACAGAAGCTTCCATAGTAACCGCAGAAGGGTCCTGCATTTCCTGCCATCTCCTCCACCCTCACCCCCATTTCCTGCCACTTCCCTTAGTCCCCAAGGTCATGCATGGATTTGCCCGCTCCCTCTTGTCCCCCGCCATGTTCTCTCCTTGAAGCCCAGTGTTGCTCTTGTTTACGGCTTGCCTGTCTGCAAAGGATGCTGTCTCTGGGTCTGTGAAAGTGATACCTGCCACTCAGCCAGCTGCCTGGGGCTTGTCATCCCTTCTGGGCTGGTGTCTCTGCTACAGGGCAGCAAAGAGCCTGGGAAGCAGGGTGCAAAGGATCTCCCCAGCACGATGAGAAAGGGGCTGGCCAGGCATGCTTTGACATTGCGTCAGCGGTGTGAGGCATCGGCTGGGCCACCAGCCCACCTGGCAGATCTGCTTCCCATCTGTTTCCTCCTCTCGCCATCCATCCCATTGTTCCCAGCCGTGTACACGTCTGTAGCCAGAATCCTCTCTCTCTCTCTCTCCATGAAGCCTGGGGGCCACCCCCAGGTGAATGCTGCCAGACAGGCACAGGGAAGAGGCTTGGGTGGGTCAGCAGATGAGCGACTTGCTGGGGAATACATCAGTCTCCCACATGTGTTGGAGGGTGTCTTGCCCTCTCCTTCTCGGGGGCGGGTCACCCTGGTGCTTCCTAGTACTTGTTTGATTATTGAGGGAGACCGTCAGAACTCTGTGGGGATCCCAGGTCCCCTCATTGCATTTCCAGCCCCTCCTCCATGCCTACCAACTCACTTGCAGGCAGGTGCTAATCCAGCCAGTCACCACCAAGTTCAACCGTGGTTTTTCCTAGCCATTGGGCAGCGTGTCGCCAAATGTGCCCATATCCCATGACTTTCTTTCCACTGGGCTTTTGTTTCTTTACTAGAGGAGTCTTGCTTGTAGAGAGAACCTGCGTCCTTTGGGACTGCCGTGACCAACGGGCCAGGAACAGTCAAACCTGACCCATCAGGCGCATCCTCGGGTGGTGGTGGTGAGATTGGAGTCATGATTAGAAAGGGTGGATTTGACAGCTTTGGTAGCCCAAGAGAGGTTGGTCATTTGCTATGAAGACTCTAATTCAAGGTAGTGGTTTGGGCATGAGGCAGGGAGTCAGAACTCCTGGGTTCTGACCCATTTTCTTCTGTTGTGCGACCTTGAGTCATTTCACCACCCTCTGCCTCAATTTTCCCTTCTGTGAAATGGAGATAAGAGCACCTCGCTCCTAATGGGTTCATTAGTAAAGCAGTACCTTAGTGCAAGGTACAACAGTGAGAACACCAGCGAGTCCATGAAGCCTAGCAACGATGTGACTACTGCCATTGGTTTTACATGGAAGGCACCCAGATACTACGGTGATGGTCAGCAGTACAAAACCCTGAGGTGGATAGATAATCATGGTTCTCAGCTGAGGCATTGGCTGAAATATACTGGGTGCCCCATTTTGGGGTCCGGTTTCCAGACTGGGACAGGAAGTTTCCAGCTTGTACTCTTAGGAACACCGGAAGGAAGCAGCATGAGGTGAGCTCATATGTAGTGTTTCTTCCACCTCTCCCCCGATCTGATCCCTTGAGAAATAGCCCTTATCTCTACATGCCCAAAAGCCAGAGGGAAATGAGTGGACTTTAGAATCATAGACTATCAGAGTTGGAAGGGACCTTAGGAGGTCATCTAGTCCAACCCCCTGCTCAAAGCAGGACCAACCCCCAACTAAATCATCCCAGCCAGGGCTTTGTCAAGCCTGCCCTTAAAAACCTCTAAGGAAGGAGATTCCACCACCTCCCTTAGAGGTTTTTAAGGTCAGGTTTGACAAAGCCCTGGCTGGGATGACTCAGTCGCCCACTGTTCTGTGTGAGAAGTTATTCAAATCTGCTCTCACTACTCCCTGAAGGTCAGGAGATACAGCTACACGTGTGGCCATGCATGTTTTCTTGCCAGGAAGCATGGCTCTGGTTTCAGAAGGGGAGTCACCATCAAACCCGTGTCAAAGTTATTTCTTTTTTTCCCCCGCTTTGTAGTTCAGCCTCCAGATTGTAGAGTCGAAGCAGAACGTTAGCCCTTGGAATGATGCTGAAGGTTATCTTTTAGCGACAGCTGTTAGTGTGGTGAGTGAGGGAGGTTCTGGCAGACAGCTGAGCTACGGTGGGCATGAGGTGACTGCAAACTACCGTCTTAGTTTTATCTCCATGTGGCGCCATAGAAGTGGGAGATGGGGGAATACATAAAGAGGAGAGCACCTCACCGGACAGATGACCTTTGGGGTTGCTAATCCTGTTTGCAGTTGGCCTCCTTCCCATTGTAATTGTAGCCTGGAAGGAAACGGGATTGAGTAAAATCTTCATGGAATATTCGATTTAGATGCTATGAGAGACCCACATCTATTACTGTTACCTGTCTCGAATGATAAATTTATTCCATAACTGAAGAGAAAGAGGGAGGGGGCAGAGAGAGAGGGGGAAAATGGGATTGTGCCATCTCTGTCCCCAAAACGGATAAATTACATACAAGAAAAATAATGTACTCTTTGTACTACAAGCGTGACTCAAATAAAATGGAGTTGGTCAAGCAAGGGACAACTGGGATTGGCTTCCTCTTCTTACAGATCAGGCAACATCGGATACAGAATGATGTACAGCAACATGAATGCAAACACAATTTAACATTCTCAGGGGGGCTTTAGTTGCCTCAGTGCTTTGCTTTTCTACTCTTTGTTACTTTAAAGACTGATGTATTGTTGCTTATGTATAATACAGCAATTATTACACTGCTGACTAGCCCTGAGTCAGTGAGGTCTGATCAGTAGCATTCATGCCTGTCAACCAGAAGGTTACATCTTACTTATTCATATCCAACGAATACTCTCCCCAAGGGAGGTGTTGGGAGCCCGCTCATGCAAGACGAATAAAATTGGACTGAATAAAGCACTAGAGAATAGAGCGTGGGGAACTATTAAGATACCAGAGAAAGCTGCCGAGGCCAGGATGTCAATGAGATGCTGGAGCTTCTTCATGGAGGATGGAGAAAGGTGATCAGGGCTATTAGGAAGACGGGAGCCATGGCATGGGCATACAGATCAAGTTAGGCGGCAAAAGAAAGTCGCACGGGATGCAGAACAAATTTAACGCTAGGGATCCAGCTTTCTTGCTGATGGCCCTTGGGAAGAGGTTTTGGCGGGTACAGGTGTTCCCAGCCCGGAGGTAAAGGGATTGTGTGGAGGAGGTATTAGGACTAGGACCAATGGGGTAAAATGGAAGAAGGGTGAATTTAAGGTGACTGACAGGGGGAAATAGGGCAGTGGTGAGTTCTGTTAGACCCTGCGATGGTCTCCCAGTGGAAGTGATGGAAGCCCCATCACTAGAGGCATTCAAAGCTGGACTGGGCAAAGCATGCCACGATACACTGTTTTGGGGGGAATTTCATAGAGAGATGGAGATGGCAAAATGGAGTTTCCCCGTCTGATTTCTATGGGGGAGGTCATTAGCGACCATTGAAGGGTCACAGTGAGTTAAGATGCAGATTCCCCTCTGTGGTTTATGCCCATTTCAGTACACACGCTCAGTTGCATTGGCTCTTTCTCTGTGTTTGCTCCTGTGGTCTCTCTCCCCGCTGCTTGTCGTGCATCTGTAAGTATGATGTCCTTGTCCCATTGAGACCCAAGGTTCTTCCTTCTCTGCCTTTTCCATAGTTCACATTCCCCTCTCTCTTTGAGCTTTCAGTTTCACGCTTTCTTTTTCACAGCCGTCGGCCTGTCCAGCTGTCCGGAACCTGCAGTGCCTGGGAATGGCCTGAAGATTGGAGAGAGGTACTTGGTTAATGATGTCGTCTCCTTTCAGTGTGAGCCAGGCTATGCCCTCCAGGTACTAACACTTGCAAATCCGGAAGGTTTTTGTTTTCTGGACTTCAACGTTGCTGTGAAACAAAGAAACCCCAAATCTTCTAAACATCTTATTTTATTTATTTTTTGTAGGGGCACTCACACATTTCCTGCATGCCGGGGACCGTCCGGCGCTGGAATTATCCACCTCCACTTTGCATCGGTAGGATTCGTGCCACAGCTTAGCCGCTTCTATATGGTGCCCTTTTAAAATGTGGGGGAATAAGCGTGGGTGAAAAGGGAAGGACCGGTAGCACTGGGACTGGCGTCCAAAACAACAACAAAACTTGGTTTGGTTTGATTCACAAAGCCCCCATCAGTGAATCTACATCACAGAACCATCACGCCTGTGTAGAGGGAGAGCCATTCCCCCCACCTGGCATTCAGTGGTGGCCACCCTGCAGGAAAAGAAGAACGGTAAAGAACCAGAAGCTCACCACGCCTCGTTCACCATGCTTGCCTACGGTGATGTCCTGGGGAAAGGTGGTGATGAGTTGCCAGCAGCGTTAAAGGTGGTGGACCTGTAGGGCCCATCCTATTCCTGTCGAGGAGAACAAGTGTCAGGCTCTTGATTTACATAAGGGCAGGAGCAGGTACTGTAGAAACAGAGGCATGAAGGCAGCTTGTGGGACCTTTTGGGTTATTTTAAGGCAATATTTTGCTTTTTAACAACTCTAGATGTTTAATATTCATATTCTGCACTTTATGACTTTGCGAGAGAGACATTTATGCATTTAACAGCGTTAGTTAGTTAACAGTTATTTCAGGCCCCTGCTGCTCCAGCTCACATCATTTAGCTTTAAAGTAATTATAATAGCTGCTGGCTCTTTTATCTGATGATCTACAGGCCAGAAATAAATAGAGAGATACTTACAGCAGAAAGAAGTGAGCGGATAGGACTCCTGCCAATGGGAGCTGCTTAGAAAGGAGCCAGAACCCCTTTGGCTCAGCATTATAGTCAAGGAATTCAGGCGCTGGGAACAGCGTCTCAATACTGCAGCCACGGGGACCTCCAAGATTAATGGATAGATACGCAAGAACAAAAAACTCTTATATTATCGTTACTGTGATGTATTTGTGTTGGCATAGCACCTAGGAGCCCAGTCATGGGCCAAGACCCTGTTGTAGACGTTAGTGTCTGTACAGTGCCTAGCACAATGGGGCCCTGGTCCATGACTGAGGCGTCTATGCATTACCACGATGCAAATAACACTGGGGTTTGCTCCAGATTGTCCCTTTAGTGTAGAGCTGGAAAGTTCTGTCTGTGTGTCCCTCCCCATACATGCCTGCCTATCTGTCTACCTACCTACTTACTTACTTCTCTCCTCCAAATCCCAGTGATGTCACTAGGGGACGACCCCTTTGCAGGACCGGGTCACTGCTGTTTTAATAAAGGAACACAGTGTGTGTCTGGGGTTGGTTTGTTCAAGCCCAGGAGTGTAAAGCTGGATCCGTATTTAGGCACCTTAAATAAGGGTACGTCTCCACAACCAGGGACAGCCCGCGGCAGCAAGCATCTGAGCCCAAGTCAACACTCGGGCTTGCACTACTGCACTCAACACAGCTGCGGAGACAGCACTTGTAAGTCGCGGCTCAATCTCTGATGCCCGCCACCTGCCTAGGCCTCAGAGTCCAAGCTCCAGCCCAAGTCGCTGTGTCTACGCAGCTGGTTTTAGTGTGGTATCGTGAGCCCCATGAACCTGAGTCTGTCAATTCGGGCTCAAAGGTTCGCTGCCGCAGGCTGTGTAGACCTGGTTTTCGGAGACGTGTGTGTGTGTGAAATTCTATGTATATGTGCCAAGCATCTCCCCAGTATGACAATTTTCACCTACATGTAAAACCAGAGATTGGATTCTTCGTCGTTCTCTCATTTCCAAACCATATACAAAAGCCCCCAAAACACTGGAGAAAACATATTAATTCCCTGGCTTCTCTCAGTTTATTTAATCCAGATGTTTTCCTTTTACATAATTTAAGAGCAGTTATGTTAAGCAGACATCAAGGGGGAAAAAAAACCTTACCAGAGAAGCATTGTCAGACGTGAGCATGCATAGTTAGACGCTGGACAAAGGGAAATCTGTACCTTCAGTGTCAGATTGGATTAGGGATATGAGTGCGTGTCTTCTGCTGGAATGTATTACAAGAGTAACGCAGAGGTCAGTCAGATAAGATGGTGTCTTGAGTTGAAATTTAATCTGTCGTCTTTTGTAAACATCTTGTTTGTTTTGATGTTTGTGCACTGGCCTTTGTAAAGGTTTCATTTGAGCCAACTGCATATACACATTGTTCTGTATTTATAATTGTCCAGAGTTTGTTAAATATCATACCAACGGATCCACCTTGATTTGGATCAAACGGAGGCACTCAGAATCAACGTAAGCGCTAGACAGATAGATTTCTTAGCTGTATTTTGTCCGTTATTTAAGAAATGAAATAGTTACCACCCACAGGCCCCATTGGGCTTGATACTGCACATACACATGGGCTAGGTCTAAACTACATGGGGGGGGGTCGACCTAAGATTCGCAACTTCAGCTACGTGAATAGCGTAGCTGAAGTTGCGTATTTTAGGTCGACTTACCTGGCTGTGAGGTCGGCGGCAAGTCGACCGCTGCCGCGCCGCCGTCGACTCCGCTTCCGCCTCTTGCCGCGGTGGATTTCCGGAGTCGACGGCAGAGCGATCAGGGATCGATTTGATCGCGTCTTCACTAGACGCGATAAGTCGATCCCCAATAGATTGATTGCTACCCGCCGATCCGGCAGGTAGTGAAGACGTGCCCCATGGTAACAGATGCCCCCTGCTTCTAACGCCTTACAACCTAAGGTCCCAATGCTGTGGCCGGAGCTGCTCAGAGGTATGGATCCAGTCACAGGATAAGAGCTTTAATAGGTCAGACACAGAGTGCAGGAAAAACATGCAACATACTAGTGGGGTGAACAGGCTGATGCTTGGCAAATATCATGTTAGTTCCATGGTGAATTTTTCTTCTTTTCCATAAAATAAATGGATCGCTGCAGCTGTCTCCCTATGTAAATGGTAAGTGACCTTTCCACAGATCCTTTCCATTAACATCAGGCCCTTGTCAATCTTACAGCCCAATGCGGTGGGACCGCAGAAGAGATGGAAGGAGTGATCTTGAGTCCTGGGTTCCCAGGAAACTACCCCAGTAACATGGACTGCAGCTGGAGGATCTCTCTGCCCGTAGGGTTCGGTAAGGCTGCCGCTTCTTCAGACGAACACTGTTGCTTCTGGGTGCCTATTTCTGCTTGTGGCCTATGTGATGGTAGACACTCAGGGCTTAATCTGGAAGGTCTCACTGCACCTGCAAATACCTCTGATTCTCTGGGTCACTTCTGAGTTTTCTGGACTGAAGCTTTCCCCCTTGTTGTAATCACGCATGCCTCTGTATGTTGGGGTGCAGTCAGGACTTGCCTCCCCCAGCACCCCAGCTGGCCACCCGGATCATGGCTCGGTCACACACCACAGCATGCGGAAAGGGGGAGAGATTTGCCTGGTGCTCCCCTTCCTCATAGCATATCTGCTCAGGACCCAGTCACAATCCAGCCCCAAACAGTGCAGCGCAGGAACTCCAGCGGCACTGGGCCATTAGCTTGAGAAGCATCCCTTATAGAACAACTGGAAGCCAGCTGAGTTGTTTAAAGGGCAAATCAAGATACAATTAGATCATGGTCTCCCTCTAAGCGGCGCCTGAATGCTAAATTCTCACACTCTCTGTGCAAGATGGGAGCGTGTGTCTGACTCGTTTCTGTTAGAAACCTGGTCTTCACAAGACAGTGGAAGTGGTGATCTGGTCCCCATGCTGAACTTATCCCTGAGAGAGCATTAGTCTGAGTCAGTGGTTCTCAACCTGCGGCCCAATCAGCACAGAGCTGCGGCCCATGTGGCATCCCCTGGGCCATATAGGTAGTATTGGATGCAGCCCATAAAACACATTCTAGGCCACATATGCAGCCCACAATGGTAAATAGGTTGAGAACTACTAGGAACAGATGGACTCCTCTCTCTGGATGGATGGTGGTAAGGTAAGGCGTGAGCCTATTTCATGATGTGTGTGGCTGGAGGTTTGGACATAAAGGGTGTGTCTACACTGTCCACTAAGCCATGTTTGTGAGGCTCGGGCTTGTGGCCTCACTGTTTCCCTGCCCATGCTTGAGTGTCCAGGCTGCTTTGTAAATCTGGGTTTGCAATTGCTGGACCCGGGTCTTTCAGCCGTGCTAACACGTCCATACTGCACTGCACAGACCTTCTGACCTGGGTCTACAGCGTGACCTGCATCCACACTACAAAGTGACAGGGCGTGGACCCAAGTCACAGCTGGACCCAGGCTCTCACCCATCCAGCTAGCTGGATCCTAGGACCCAGGTCCTGAGTGCTGACCCGAGTCAGATGGATTTGTGTGAGGTTGGGCTCACACCTGGGTCAGAGCCTGAGTCTAGTGTACAATGTAGACATACCCAAAGGGCCTATGTTCTTAAGCAATGGTTCCCACTGAAACAGTGGGGTGAATGATTTTTAAAAAGAGTACGAATGTTCAATGCTCCAGCACTCAACTGCTGAGTGTCCACTTTGCCTACTGTGTTGCAGCACTCCACTGAAATAATAGGAATGAAAGAGCTTAGCTGGTAGTCAGTACAGCAGGTGCTTTCTGTCTGGACGTACCTGGGACATTCAGCAGCACAACAAATGTATTCTACCTGCGTATAAACAGGTTCCTTCAGTCCACCTGCATGCACCTGGTACATCCACCACCAGGCTCATTGTGGCATCAGACACTTGCTGAATAGAGTTCCAGGTCCTGCTGCTTGACCCATCGGTATTTGCCGATTTCCGAATTAGCAGACTGGCTTGACCGTTGCATTCATTTCTTCTCCTCCTCTTCTTCTCCTCCTCAGGCGCCCACATCCAGTTTCTGAACTTCTCCACCGAGCCGAACCACGATTTCATTGAAATCCGGAATGGACCGTACGACACCAGTAACGTGATTGGCAGGTTCAGCGGCACTGAAATCCCGGGCTCCCTGCTGTCAACGTCACACGAGACCACCGTGTACTTCCACAGCGACCATTCACAAAACAAGCCAGGGTTTAAGCTGGAATACCAAGGTAACAAGGCCACCAAACAAGCAGGGAGGAAGAATTCTGTCCCCAGGGCTGGCAGTGGAGAGGGAACCGATGGAACAAGAGCTGCTCTTGTGTTGAATTAGTACCAGGAGGACTTAATCCAAATGAGTGGAAAGGTGTTACATGAGATCCATACTTAATCCTAATAGCTGGGTTCCGTTCATCCTGCTGTCGCCTAAGGCAAATAACAAATGTTCCTGTAGTGCTTTGTAACAGTGAAATGCCTCAGAATTAATTCTGGCCAGACTGACTTTGATCTTGGCTCTCTAGACTGTCGTGTGCCATAAGAAGTAGTCCCCAATGGACATGACTTTGCCTTGGAATTTTGCAGGTGCTTGTCAAATCAGTTTGGATCCTGAAAGCCCCTCTCTGTTTCCTAGAGCTGCGATGCACTCTTGATTTGTGCTGAGATGGGTTGTGGAGAGGGGAACTGGGCATTTAAAAGAAAAGAGGTGCAGTAGTTTAACTGAATATTCATATGCATGGCGCTGGGCATGGTTTGAGAATCTTAACAGAGAATGAGAGTGGGAGCAGAGAAATAAATTAGCACCAATTCCAAAGGAAACCCTGGCGTAAAGTTTCACAAGTGACCAGTGAATTTGAAGAGCCTCTGGTTTTGCATCCTCACCTTACAGGGAGTCCTGATTTTCAGGGGGATGGGGCTCAACTCTCTCAAAATCAAGACCCATTTAAGGTGTCTTAAGTCAGGCACCTGAAAAATTGAGCACCCCAGATCCCTACGCACCATTAAACATGTAGGCCCCTGAGCAGTGAATGCCTGTGAGTCTGTGAATCCCTCTGGGCAGGAGCTTTCTGGGCATTTCTTGTTGAAACTTCTCAGAGTAGATTTTCTGCTTTTGGAAGGCGCTGAGCTCCTTGATTCATCCAGCTGCAGCATGGGCAACAGCAGTGCTGTTTCCCCTCACAATGTCCCTGTACCAATGTGCCTTTGGACGGGTCATCCCACAGGGTGTTGAGTCTCATGGCTCATTCGCTTGTTGGCCTCTCTGCTGAGGGGCCATTGGTCATTGCAATACAAGAAGCCAAGGGCTGAGCAGACCAAAGAAGCAGATTTCCATGTATATACCTAGACACGGCCTCATTTTTATATATACTTCAAGGGGAATGGGTCAGTGCATATCTGAGTCTGCAGGGCTGTCAATCCGGAGCTCTCATCAGTACTACATTTCCAAAAACACTTGGCCTTCTCTGCATCCCCATCCTGGGTGGATTCAAGCATTGAAGGGACAAGGTGTCCTGCAGGGGAGCTGTGTGTCTTGTGACGAAGGAGATGAGGGTGGACTTTGACGTGCCACAGCTGGGAGCCGAGTGATCCTGCCACCACAGAAGAGAGGCAACCTAGGAGTGGAAAAGGCAGAGCGTATCTCTCTGTCCGTGTGATGCAGCCAAAGGCTGGCAAAGGGCAGACTCCCCAGAAATAGCACTAAAAGCAGCTACTCCGACCTAATTGAAAACATTAATTTTCCCTTGGGTTTCCCGTGCATGCACCATATAACTCATGCGCTGTTGTATGATTTAGGGGGGGAAAGCACAGTCCAAGGCACCATGGGTAATCTCATGGAAATTGCTATGAAAATTAGATCTGGCTGTGCTGATCAATAATAACTCATCGTGTCAGGCCGAGCATGTTAGCCCATTGCCATCCATTTATCACCAAATCCACTTCCATTTTGTTGAAAAACCAGGCAGATTTCCCCCATTAGAAGCGAGCTCTGGGTTGACTCTGCAGATATAGGCCTCGTAGAGACAGGATAAACCAAAAGTGAGGCCCATTGTTCCATGACCACGCCTGCCCCAGGTAGCAGGATTTTCTAATCAGAAGAACATTTGGCTCTTTAAACCCTTTATAGAGTCACCACCAAAATAAACCAAAACCCCAAACCAAACCCAAAACACCAAGCATTGTGAAGAATCTAACGGTGGCATTCTGGCCCCACTGCAGTCAATGGCAAAATTCCCATAGAATTCAGTGGGGCCAGAATTTCACCTGAAATCCGTAATCATGTCAGGGGATAGATTTTTAGCTGGGAATTGCCATACCGGATCAGACCATTTTTATATAGCTTCAAGCCCTTCTGGTCCTATGTCCAGCTATAAGGCAGGGAGAAAAGGGGTATTTACCGCCATAGGACATGTATTTATCAAGGGATTTTTGTCCAGCGGGGTGACATTTTGGCCTTCTGTCCCATGCCCCGTTTCCTCCTCCACCCATTATACCTCCATCCTCTAGAGCAACAACCAAGATATGGTGAGGATGGTGGCTCTAGCACTACGAAACCCTTGGCAGGAGGGAAAAATGATTCCAGCCTTTAGAGGAAAGCATGAAATATAGAACCTGTCTCCTCCTTGTATTTCCAGCCTACGAACTCCAAGAGTGTCCTGACCCTGAGCCTTTCGCGAATGGCATTGTGAGAGGAGCCGGTTACAATGTTGGCCAGTCTGTATCTTTTGAGTGCCTTCCTGGATACCAGCTGATTGGCCACCCAGTCCTGACGTGTCAGCACGGCACCAATAGGAACTGGGACCACCCACTGCCCAGGTGTGAAGGTACGACTTTATCGGGTCACCTTTGAACGTCATGGGGGTTTTCTGGGTAGCCCGTGGAGTCTGCTCAGTACTGGCGTCTTGTAACTTGCTTGCCTTGGGGATTTTGATGAATCAGCTGGAAGGAAGGAGGAAATGACATTGCCTTGGTATTTTGAATCCACCTTCTTTCTAGGTCAAAGCCCAGATTGCTGACTCAGGTTCATTCAAACTCCTATGCAGTCTGGCTTTGTTCCGATGCTGATTAGTGGGAAGGGAACAAGCTTGCAACAGCAGCTCAGTGATACTGGAGGATGCAATAGAAGAGATAAAAATATGGTCTGCAGTTTCTTTATGTTTTATTCATGTGATCCTCGAGGGCATAGCTCTTCCTTTCCTAAGCCTTTGTGTAGCATTGCTGTGCACTGTTTAACAGCTGCTTCGTCTCACCCCAGAGCCAGCTGCATTGCATCAGTGAGCAAAGTGCTTATCGTTTGTACAATCCGTGGCTCTTTACGTTTGTAAAACCTAAAGTGCTTTGTGATCCTATAGGGTGAAAGTTTCTCTGGAAACATAAGCTGCTGCTAGAGACAGGCCTGAGCTGTGGAGTGCGGATACAGGTCTCGACCCTGTTAGCATTTGGATCAGCGAGTTGGGGTCAGCCCTCTTTGAGCGGTGTGGGCGAGTGGTGAAATTCACACCCAGGCCTGGGTTTGTCTTCCAAAGTTAGGGTGTGTTTGCAGCTGGGGTTATGATTCAAGCCCATCTCTGGCTAGCAGTGTTTTATTCTTTGCTTGTTCCATTGCTGACTATCAGTGGGAGTAGTGCTTGTGCAATAAGGCAGTATATGGCCCTGAGAAGAATATGCCTGTTGGGCCTGATTTTTGAAAGTGCTGAGCACTTAAAGCGCCCATTGTCAGAATCTCTGCGAACCAGGTCCATAGCGCCTGTCTTCCAAGGACAAAGATGGGCTTCACAGATCTTAATTATCTAACCCTCTCAGCTCCACTGCCTCGTGTATTATCAATTCTATTGTACAGATGAGGAGCTGAAACACAAGCATTCAAGTGACTTGCCAATGGTCACCCAGCAACTCAGCGGCAGAGACAAAAATTAGCACCCAGCTCTGATCAATTCTTAATCTCTCCAGGGACAGTGGCTCCACATTGTAAATGCATTGATTTGTCTTCTCTGCAAGCTCCCCACGGAGCACATTTCCCTGAGCGCTGTCACGTGGCAACTTCAGAATCTGTGCTCCCTGCTTATGCTAAGAAACCATCATCGTTTTGTTGATTTATTAACCCCTGAGAAATTACTGCCAGCTCTTGGACAGGTTTATGGCCGCACATGGCCAGCATTCTCTGCCTGGTTTTCTTTCTATTTTTTTAACTTTTCCTCCTTTCCCAGCATGCTATTTCATGCTGACATTGAGCCTGATTAGAGCCGTGTTTTATTGTTCCAAATAAGTTTTGACTTTTTCCCATTCGAACACCTATCAAAGTCAGAACTTTACGATGTGTCGGAGCAGCTAAATAAATAAGGTAAAGAACTGGGGCTTTGATCAGCTCCGCGCTTTGGGTTTGCAACACCCAGTGCTGCGCTGAAGTAAATTTAATCACCACCACTGTGCGGAGCCCTTGCTGAGAAAGGACCCTTGCAGCTCTCGGGCTTCAGTGGTAGGATTGGGTCAATGTGCAGTCTGGTCTCCCTTGCGCAGCGACTGCTGCACCACTGAAATGCTGCTGAATCTTTCCCTGTTGGAGGCGGAATTCTTTAATGATCTTAGCAAGAGTCTCCGTTTGCAAGACCTGTGTCTGCAGCTGTGGTTTCAGGGTGTTAGCCGGAGCGAATGGCTCGGTGTTCTTGACATCCAGTCTGAAATGTATCAGAGGGGTAGCCGTGTTAGTCTGGATCTGTAAAAAGCAACAAAGAGTCCTGTGGCACCTTGTAGACTAACAGACGTATTGGAGCATAAGCTTTCATGGGTGAATACCCACTTC